CCAGTTGAGCCGACCTTCTACGTGCAGCTTGCCATGCCAACCAGGGAATTGTTTTTTCGCTTCCAAGGCCGGATGGAGCAGAAACATTAAATTCCCGCCTGATTGTGACGAAAGCGGGGGAGTGCAGCGGAGATGCACGTGCGTGTCGGGAGTGCGCAACATCGTCGAAGGAGCTGCCAGGTGTTTATTCTTGCAGCAGACGCACTTTTAGAAGACTACTTGCCGGCAAACCCCCGCAGCAGTTGTTCAGCGCATGGGAGACCCGCCGGTAAATGCAGCCCATGTGCGGGCTGTGCTACGCTGGCGTCGTGAACAGCGTGGCGACAACACTGCGAAGTTTCCTGCAAGCGAAGCGGACTTCACCGAGGAAGCCGAGCGATGGGCCGATGTGGAATCGACACCCCTCGCCATCTTCACATGGACAGCAGTTCTTACGCCGTTCACGCTCGAGCTGGTGCGACTGAAACAGTCAGGTCGATTGGACGGCATCTATCTTGCGGCGACGCCGAGGGGTACAGTCCACATTATTTCGAATCTTCTTTCCAAGGTCTCAAGGGTAAAAAGCCAAAGGTGCTTGATATGGGAGTTTTCGCCGTCCGAAACCACCGAAACGAGTGTTCTCTGCGTTTATTCCATGGAGCGAAGGGCTTCAAAGGGAATCAGCCAAAGGTGCATCGTTTCGGAGTTTTCCCGGTCCGAAACAGCAGAAATGGGTATTCTTCGCTACTATTCCATCCGGTCAGTCTTAGAGCGAGGTCTGCAAGGTCTGCAAGGGCTGCCCTTCTCAAATCCCCCTCTGCTCTCCTTCATGACTTTCTTCAACTTATTCCTGAGCTGTTCTTTTTTGCTCTTCTTTGTTTTTCGTCTCTCCTCTTCTTCTTCTTCTTCTTTTCTTCTCGCCTCATCCTCTTCTCGCGCTCTTCCCGCTCTCTTCCCTTCTCTTCTCGTCTCTTCCTCTGCTCTTCATGCCATGAATGACACGACGAGCTCCTGCCTCTCTTCGTTGTAAAACATTGAGATGCCCATTTTGGCTGTTCGGACTGCGGAAACTCCCAGGTCCCCTCCCTTCTCACCCACTCCCCCCATCCCGTCGGGGTTGCGTCCAAGCAAGGGTCCCAAAGAAAATAGAGCCAGAGGTGCTTCATTTTGGAGCTTCACGGCCCAAGACAGCCGAAACGAGTATTCTTTGTTTTGATTCCATCCGGTCAGGTGTAGAGTGAGGATTTCAGCAGTTTTTGGGGTGCACGCTGGCTGAAGTTCATGTTTAGAGGCTTTCCTTGGAGAGTTATGGGCATGGGTCTCCTTGCTTGCGTCATGCGGCGCAGATTGAAGAAGAACTGGAAGGCCGCCCCATGGCCACTCGTGGCCGTGTTGACCGCTACCGAAGAGTTCGCTGGTTACAAAATGGGCTTCGATGTTCTCTGCCAGGCTCTCTGACGACCTCCCCGATCCAACTGCCATATCGACGGTTCTGGAGAGGCTGCGATGGCCAAATGGCCGGCTTGTAAACATGTCACGGATATCTGGCACATGCGGAAAAATTTGATCAAGAACCATTCGGCTGCTTGTAGACAGGCGTTACAAGAAGCAGAAGGATTGAGAGGTGTGATGCACTCGCCTGCGCGGGCAAAGCGCAAGACCCAACCGAAGCCAAAGCCTGGGCGCACATCTGAAGAAGGGCCGGCCGTCGGCCGATCTTCGCCTTCCTGAAGCTGGTGGATTACCTGGCTTGGGCGCCTACGCGTGCCGACTTTCACATACTAGCCAAGACAATCCTAGCTCGAGTTCAGTACGTGTGGGGCGAAGATTGGAAGTTGATATTTGCAAGCTGGCAAAGGCAATGCCGGACGCGAGCACATCTAGGAAGAGGGGCCGACCTCGCAAAGAGCGACCCTTGAAAGTCCCTCAGTGTCCGAAGCAGACCATTCGCTTGGCCCATCGCATGGCTGAAGAGTTTCTCCAGGCCCGCTTCAGCGACGCGAGCCTCTTAGCCAAGCATGCCAAGAGGCGGACGACATCCTCGACCTCAACCGAAAGCACCGGCTCGAACCCACAAAGCTGAGTGGAGTTAGCCTGCAAGATGCTCCCGCGAGGAAAACTAGGCAAGCGTGCTCTCGTGTGAGTCGCAATGCAGCAAGCATCCCGGAGCTTCGAATGACCTGCCAGGAGCACTCGCGCGTCGCCTCAGAAAGTTCCGGTTCATAGTCGCAGCGGCAAGGAGGAGGCTGGACAAGAGAGCCAAGCCTGAAACACTCCTCGCTCCACTGTTCCGGACCTCTGCAGGAAATACCTCCGAGTTCTAGAGCTCCGGGCTCGGCGAACTCTTAGGCACTGTTTATTGGACCCGTCCGTGCAAGACGTGCTCATGCAATCGTGCAGTGCTCGTGCTCAGGCGAGGCTTCGCCACCGGACAGAACGTGTACTACGAGCCCGGCCCTCAGCTACCCTCCGACTGAACCAGTCAAGCAACGAACTCCCTCGCAGGCCAGGGATGAGCGAAGGCGAAGACGGCACCATCATCGAATTCGACGGACGACGATGGGTGCCGCTGGCCCAGGGTCATTTCCGACAGAACGTTGTTGGCCTGGAAGAAAGAGATGGAGCCTTGGGAGTGCGCCAACGTTCTGGTCTCAGAGGGGTCGGACAGGGGAGGTAGGGGGAAGTGGGAATGAAATGGGACGAACTCCTGGAATGAATGATTCGTTCGCTGAGTTCTCCGTCTGCGGCCACTACCTGGAGGGACAAAAAAAGCAGGACGGCCTGAGGTTGTGCCGTACTTGCGTGGGGCTCTCGGGTCGTGCGTCGTGTTTTTTTTGGGTGCGCGAAAACGTATATGTACTCGCTCAGGGTACGGCAGCTCGGGACGAGCGAGCCCGAGTGCGCAAGGACTGGTAGGGTGGGAGGATGCTCCGGGATGTATTGGGCGTGGGTTTGTGAATGCATCGGTGAAGGCGGAGGAGCTCCTGCGACAGAGCCGCCTCAAGGAGGACAGGATGCATGGAAGGGTAGTAGTTCATGTTGAAGGGGTGTGGGCGGGTTCGTGAACTCGCAGCGATAAGTTTTCATTATGTGAGGCACAGGAAGCGGCCGAAGTGAACGGCTTGAAGGTTCTGCTTATGTGTGTGTGTGTGTGTGTGTGTGTGCGTGTGTTTTCTTTGTTTTGGTCGTGGGGTGTGATCGTTCGCAGTGTGGCACGCGTGGGAGTATGATAGGCTTTGACACACGTCGCCTTCTTCCGTATTGGCGGGGAGCTTAGAAGTTGTCGTTCTAGCTGTTGAATTGCGTGTATGGTTATTTGTTTTGGCAGGCAGTACGGAAAGCGAAACGTACGGTGTGACCGAGCCGTTGTGGAACCGGTGCATTTCTTAGTTGCATGTGTTAACATACACAAAAAATAAAATGCACGCAAATCGGAAATTGAGGCTAAAACGACGGGCCAAGGCCGAGGTCGGGTGAGTGGGGTTTCATGACGTAGCGTGCCTTTTTGTCTGAGTTGACGTATGTTGTCGAAGGCTTGCGAGCTAGCAGAGGAGTCAGAGGACCGGACGTTAAGAGAGAGAGAAAGAGAGAGAGAGAGAGAGAGAGAGAGAGAGAGAGAGAGAGAGAGAGAGAGAGAGAGAGAGAGAGAGAGAGAGAGGGATGTCGAGAGAGGACGGCGTCGACAGCTTGGAGGAGCCGTCAGGGTGCGTGGGCGTGTGAGGGGAAAGAGCAAGAGAGAAGGAGAGAGAGAAGTCGTGTGCAGGGGATCACGGGCCACGAGAAGGACAATCACGTGCAAAGACAGAAACAAGAAGAGAGATCTAAGAAGAAAAGAAAGAGACAATGACGCTTTTAAGTGGTCGCAGTAGACATAGCTCTCCGTGCTGAGGCAGAGAGAGAGGCAAAGAGAAAGAGAGAGAGTGAGAGATGAATGAACTGTTGTCAGGGCGCCCGGCGCCCCACTTTCTTCTACAGCAATGCGCGGGGATCTCGGTGCTGCATCGCTCTGGCAGTCCAACGCCGGCAGAGCAAAGGTACAACCCATTCCTCTGATGTCTGTTGACAGCCCTCATGGAAAACCCAGGCTGGTCCATATCTTGTGAGATGGACATTGCATGTACAAACGCAGACCTGAACCTGTACCCCGAGACGTGAAGACTTCTGTAGAGGCTGTTCGACCTTCACTGGCCTTCGTAAAATATAGACCCTAAGCCAAACCCAAAACCCCAATAACCCGAATAGTATGCAGCATCTGAGTTCCACCATCACAAGGATCACAAGGCAGCCGGACTCCTGGCGGCGGAACGGATGAACTGAGCATCCTTTGCAGAGAGGGGAATGCTGCGGACGTTTCACTTCATTGACCAGTCTCTGCTCGGGCTTTCGCATCGTCCCAATGAGCTCAATCGGTGTGGACTGTGTCTCTGCGAAGCGCAAGGCCAATGCAAGGGCATCCAAACTTGACGTGCTTTCTTTCACCTCTTTCCCCAGCGATGTGCCAACTTACGGCTGCAGCTCACAGCCAGTCTTTAGCCTTGGATTCAGGCCCTCGCTGATTGGCCCGAACGATTTACACCTCACCTTACCGGTGCAAAGTCCAATCAGAATGCATAACTGAGGATGACTTTGGTCGCATGACTGCCTCTGCAAAAAGGCAGGGCACTTGCGCGTAACAAATACGCAAGCAAACCATGCGGGATTAAGTTCTGCGTGCGGAGATGTGCTGTTATTCCTTTGAAAACAGCCAGACTGTAGCAGCAGGGTGCCAAGGGCGATGGCCACTGGGCTGATTTGCTGGAGACGTGAAACAGCATTTAGTAGCAAGTAATTTATGATTTCTTGTAGGTTGGCTTGGAGATCGGCCATGAATCAGAGACTTTCCAGTACGTCACACATGGTTGCTTGACTCTGGAACACCGTTCACATCTCAGGGCATGGTCTGTCGCATGGCTTCGGCGTTTGTCAAGATGCGGGCTCAAACTTTCTTGCCAACTCGCGCAACTTTCCCTGTGTGACTTGCGATGGCTTCGCAGGGGATGGTCATGAAGCGCCGCAAAAATCTAATAAATCTGGGTGTTGTGCCTGCACCGCTGTGCAGGCAGAAAGGTGATGAAGATAAGGCAGAACCGCTGTGCTGCCAAATAAGAAGTAAACAAAAGATTCTGGGCCCTTTTCAAATGAGGCGCTTGCTGCAGAGCTCAGGGCCTCACGCGGGCTCAGACCTAGGAACCTACAGCACGCAGTTACTGTGTCCTGCGGTCACTCAAGAGGTCTGCGCCGCCAAGCCGTTCTCGCTGCCCCGCTGGGGCCTTGGGGGCGAACAGAGTTGTCCAGAGAGTGGGCTTGCCATGGGGGGAAAGGCAAACATAGCAGCCTCAGCTCTTCATTGACATGTATTGACATATTGGTGGTCCAAGTTGGTGGTCCAAGGTATGTGCAGTACGATGCGGGCGACTCGGACGCGATCGTGAATGTTCGGCACCCGGATGCTCAGGCGCTGTACGCTCTGTTGATAGCCGTTGTTATCACCGATAGTTTCTGGGGCCCCCTCCCCCCCCACACCCCCCCCCTCCCCCACCTTCGAGAAGCCCAAATGGATTGAGGCCTCGGAGATGCGCCGCGAGGACAATGAGTTTGAGCCATTTTGGCCCGGCAAAGGAAGCTCGCCTCGGCATGGAGCGCCCACGCGTGGCGCTGCTGGACTTGTTTTTTGCTTCTCTCCCAAGCACGCGATCCCTCGCCGCTCGCGCCCTCGCCTGACGTTCCCGATGTGGCAGGGTCGCAGCGCAAGATTGAGTATGGTTCTGGTCTTGAGTTATGATTTGAACGATTTTCGTTTCAGACCTTCTTGTTTGTGGTTGGAGCATCTTGTCACGGCGTGGACACAGGCGCCAGGGAGGCTCAGGCGGGCAACTGTGCCGAAATGGCTTGACGTGGTTGCAGCACCCCCTCAAACCCAAACCCTAAGCCCTAAACCCTAAGCCCTAAACCGTAAACCCTAAACCCCAAAACCCTAGCCCCTAGACCCTAAACCCCAAACCCTAAACCCTAAAACCCTAAACCCTAAACCCTAAACACTAACCCTCGGCCCTAAGACACTGAGACCCCAAACCCCCAAAGGCTACCGGACATGAGGGATGTTTTGGGTGCCTTCCACTTCTCCGAGCTATTCTTCGTGATGGGCAACAAGGAGCCGACAGCTCAGGTTCGCTTAGGGTTTAGGGCCTAGGGTTTAGGGTTGGGTTTCGGGTTTAGGGTTGAGGGTTTCGGGTTTAGGGTTCAGGGTTTAGGGACGTGGTGCTTAGGGACTTTAGGGTTTGGCGTTCAGGGTTCCTATCGGCAGTGTGCGCACACTGCTTGACTCGGGGTTTGTCTCTTGACATTTCATACGATATGGGGCTTTGCAACCATCCGGGATACCTGTTTCATGGATTCCTCTACTGGGCTGGGTACATGCGGGGTGCCCCTTTTGTTAGGAAGATGCCCAGGTGAGCCTAAAACCCTAAAACCTAAACCCTTAACCTTTAACACTCAACCCTTAACCCTGAACCTTTAACCCCGAGCTCTAGCAGTGGCATCGATCAGTTTTCGCAACGCTCCTGGCTTGACAGGACGGTCCTGGCGGAAACCTGCCGTTTGAAGGCCACGAGCGCAGGGCTTATGAGGGTTTAGGGGTTAGAGTTGTTGGCTTAGGGTTTTGGGGTTTAGGTTTTTTTTTGGTTTAGGGGTTATGGGCTTGTGGTTTAGGGATGAGGGTTTTTGGCCTAATTAGGGTTTAAGGCTTCTTTGGTTTAGGGTTGAGTGCTTGGGGGGTTTAGGATTGAGCAGCGCTTGCCAGATAGCCCTTCCTTCCTACACGACGTGCAAGGCAATTGGCCTTGAGTCTTAACAAGACGACCCAGCCCAAACTGGTGCACTCGGGGTCCGGAGACTCTTGGGTTGCCAAAACCAAGGCCCAGCGGAAGAAGGGCCATGGGCGGCAGGCCTTTAAACGGAGGCCCGTAAGATGTATGCCGCGTGTCATGGCACAGCAGATCAAGTTCCTTTGGATGGCACCTTTTCAGTGCGACGGTGGCCTGGGAAGAAGGCCCTGAATTTTGCAGTAGTGATGGAGAGAGAACCCAAGAATGGTCGAGGCTTCATGTTTTTTTCATCAGCCCTCCGCCCTCTGCAGTAGTTGTGAGGTAGTTTGTATTTCACATCACTTGTGATGCTCCCCCTTTTACGAACAGTTTTGAAATAGGGGTTATCATAGGGGGGGTATTATAATCACAATAATCCCCATTACGGGCTGTTGCTATAAACCCTCAACCCTCAACCCTCAACCCTCAACCCTCAACCCTCAACCCTCAACCCTCAACCCTCAACCCTCAACCCTCAACCCTCAACCCTCAACCCTCAACCCTAAACCCTAAACCCTAAACCTCCCTCCTATGAAGGTGGCGCGCTGGGCTTTGGCCTCGGCTGGTCGAAGCAGGAGCTTGCGCGATGGTGATGTTGTTTGTGGGATTGAGCCGCCAGAGCTGAGGCTTTGGGGTTTAGGGTTTAGGGTTTGGGGTTTAGGGTTTAGGGTTTAGGGTTTAGGGCCAGCAAGCAGCGGCTATGGTTGTCGGGTAGACTGTACCAGCAGCATATCGCTCTCGCAGTGACGCGCGGTTCATGTTTTGGGGTGTGGGGCGTGGGGAGGGGTGGTTGGTGGGGGGCTGATAACGTCCGCGCAAACCCGCAAACATGCTGCACTAGGCTGTCATTTCTGCCCGTTTTGCTTTGGAGTAGTGGTCGAAGCGTCGGTCATATCAGCGGTACGATTTTATTGGTAGTTGTGGTGGTGGTGGCGGCAGTTCTTGACAGCAATTGAACTGCAGCAGTAGTCGCCTTCGTTTAGCTTTCGCAGACAACAACAACCGCTATCAGTACCACGACGACGAAATGACCACTACACCAATCCTACGCCTGCCACTGCACTGAAATTGTCTAGGCGGCTGCTCGAGAGCACAGTTTTGCCAGTCGTCCACTTTGCATGAAGCTAGCAACGCCTAGGCTGTTAGAGTCATCCTTGTAGTGTTTCGTTTAGGGTTTCGGGGTTTAGGGTTTAGGGTTATGGCCGTAGTAGGAAGAGCCTGTGGCGATGAACAGGATCCATATCGCAATAAGTCGGCAAGACATGCCGCAACGGCAGCTTGACTACTAGGTAGGGTCTTGGGATGTTGTGCATTTTCCCTTCTTGGGTTCAAGAGGATGATATGTCGGAATATTCTTCAGGGGGGTGTTAAGGGCCATCCAAGACTACTCCAAACCCTAAGCCCCTAAGCCCTAAGCCCTAAGCCCTAAGCCCTAAGCCCCTAAGCCCTAAGCCCTAAGCCCTAAGCCCTAAGCCCTAAACCCTAAACCCTAAACCCCAAACCCTAAACGTAGCAGGAAGGTTTTTGCTTCCGCTCCAAGCATGCCGCCAGGATGTGAAGATCTCCGCCAACATGTCCGGCAGCTGGGGCGCCCTCGTGCGCGAGGAGGTTCCATTTTCTCAGGGCTGCATGGAGAAGATTTGATGAAGCTCCCTAAACGCTGTAAACCATAAGCCTTAAACCCTAGACCCTAAGCAGTTTGATGAAGCTCCAAAAACCCTCTAAACCGTAAACTTGGGATGTTGCCCCTTATACTAAGAGTCCTTTATGGGGATTATAATCGGGGGTACGATAATCCGTATTGAGGACTGTTCGCATAAGGGGCCAACATCCACCCTAAATGCTGGACCGTAAACCCCAACAGAATGAGGGACAGCGTCATCCAGCCGTAGAGGATTCAAGTTGCCCATCGAGCAAAGTCTGCACGATGTTTTAACGCCCCCAAAAGCCCAAATCCCAAAACTCCGATGAACCCCGAAGCCCAAAAAGCCTTAGAACCTGAAAGCCCTAACGCAAGTCACGAGAGTCTGAAGTCCTCGAACCCCTGTGCCCCTGACACCCTGACACCCTCGAACCCCAGGGGCTGAGGGCCTTTTTCAGAGCCGCTGTGCGTGGAAGGGAGTCATTTAGGGTTTAGGATTTGGGGTTTGGGGTTTAGGGTTTAGGGTTTAGGGTTTACGACTGCAACAGTAGGGTTAGAAGTCCCTTAAATATTGGTCTGGGTTACGATACCTATTGCTTCTCCAAGCAGGACGTGCCTTCTTGGCCGGCCTGGGACACTGGTGAGATGCTTCGGTTTGCGCTCAATGTCCCAGACAATGCGTCTCGGGCTTGCTCTTTGGGCTTTTGGGGTGTGTTCAGCCCGAAACCCTAAACCCTAAACCCTGAACCCTAAGCCTTAAACCCTAAACGCTAAACCCTAAACGGGTGTTTGGGGGGTGCTGAGTCCGGGTGTTTAAGGGTGCTTGGGGTGTGGGGAGGAATTAGGGATTTTTTCAGGCTGCATGAGACACTGCTATTGCGTCGCTTCATCTATACGGTATGCTGGGGACCTCATCCCCGAAGGCGTAGCAGTAACAGGTATAGTCAATCACAGACTGGCCAAAGGGTTTAGGGTTTAGGGTTTAGGGTTTAGGGTTTAGGGTTTAGGGTTTAGGGTTTAGGGTTCCTGTTGCATTGTCAGAACTGTCCTCGCCCCTGCTTGCCAGGTCGATGTGGTGCCCGTCCAGAGCATGCTCGCGAATCACCACTGCGATTTCTTCGACGACCTGAACGTCCGGCTGATAAAGGATGTGAGCAACTAATGTATCGGCAAGCAAAAAGGCAAACCAAGCAAGTTTGCCGCGGTTACTAGAGAGTGTGCACGTAGGCTTGTGCCGCACGATGCCCTGAGTTCGAAACCACTGTAGAGCTGCTTGGCAGACATTGCAGACTTTGCAAACCCATGAAGCCCGAAATTCCCGACAATGGTCATCCTTGGCTTAAGTATTGCTGCGTTGTTTCAGCCTGTAGCCGTCGGAATTAGGAGGCAGGATCCCGCCCCGCGTCAGTCACAACTTCAGCGTGCTGTACGGTCACATTGCAACACGCGAATGCCATTTTTGAGAAGCAGTAGATAAGTGGCCATGTCGCTCTCTGCACTCCGGCCGGTCCGACTTTCGCCTGAGCTCGCTGCGAACTCGGATTGCTTCTGATCGCGGGGTAGATGGCATGCTTGTACTCCCTATACCCTGCCCTAAACATTAAACGGGAGAGGGGGAGGGACGGGGGAGGGGTGGTGGGGGGGGGGGGGGTGGGAGTGTAGGGGTTAGGGTTTATGGTTTAGGGTTTTTGGGGCTTACGCCCTCAGCTTCATTGGGTTGTTGCCTGTGCGGTTTCTTGTGGTGCCTGAGTCTAGGACATGCGTTGCAACAGCTGACTTCTCGAGAAAAGAGGGGAAGCCAGATCTACACACTGCCCGAGGTGCCGCAGCTGCCTGCCAGGCATGTGCCACGAAGTGGCCCACACCAGGACGGGACCCGTAAAACCCTAAACCCTAAACCCTCAACCCTCAACCCTCAACCCTAAACCCTCAACCCTAAACCCTAAACCCTAAACCATCCACAGGCTAGGCCCTCCTGCTTTACAGATAAGGGTAGCTCTCGAAACTCGGGTCCCCTTTTGATGTCCTCATGCTTAAGGCTGCCGTACTACAAAGGGACCCTGATTGGTAAGATGAGGACCCCAAGAAGGTAACCCTAAACCCTAAACCCTAAACCCTAAACCCCAAACCCTAAACCTAAACCCTAAACCCTGAACCCTAAACCCTGAACCCCAAACCCTAAGCCCTAAACCCTAAACCCGAATTTCGCAAACCTCAATTCAGAGAACTATCCCATAGGATGATTCCTGATTCCCAGAGCAGTTTCCTTGGACAGGTCCTTGGGGAGACATCCAGCGCAAGGTCGCGCGCAGGCCCACAGGGATGCGAACACGCATTGGGGTTTAGGGTATGGGGTTTCGGGCCACAGCCCATGACCTGAGCCCGTAGCCCTCGTGGAGGAGTCTCCTGTTTCTGAGCCACATGTGGCTGAGAGTCGGTTCGCTCACCTGGCAGTTGGTTCACTGGCCTGACCCCCAGGCACAAGTGCGAACCTTAGGGCAAGGCCGTGGAGGAGTTTCTTTGGAGACCCAAGCTACCGCGGCTTTTTGCGGGTAAGGGCTGCCAGGTCATGACGGGTTTGGGGTCTAGGGTTTCGGATTTCGGGTTTAGGGTTTAGGGTTTAGGTCAGATGGGGCGCTTGCCCAAGTGTGCCAGTCCCATAGATCATGGCGCCAGACCATGGGCCCACCTGCCGTCTGCATGAAGCTGCTGACGGATCTAGCAACCCCCTCCCATGGTTTGGGATGTTCTCCCTTATACTCACAGTAGGGATTGCTAGGGATTCTAGTACCCCCTACTATAAGCCCTACTAAGGAGTGTTAGTTTCAGGGGGAACACTCCAATATATGGTGAATGCTTACTTTATGTAGAGTAGTTGTTTTTTCCAAATGTGCTACCCTCGTATGTTTCAATCTTAGGGGGAGTCGCGGGTAACACGACTCCCAAATCCGATTAAATTCTGCAAGGGGTTTCCCAAGATTCGGGTACCGATTTGGGGGGCTTCCTGTATCAATGACATATCGTATTTGTGGGTAGAAAATGGGGTGCCCTAAACCCCAAACCTAAACCCGTAAAACCATAAACCCTTAAACCCCCAAACCCCAAACCATAAACCCTAAACCCCAAACCCGAAGCCCCAAGCCCGAAACCCCTAAACCCTTAAACCCCTAAACCCTCAACCCTAAACCCTAACCCTGAAACCCTAAACCCTAAACCCCAAACCCTAAACCCGAAACCGTAAACCCCAAACCTAAACCCCAAACCCCAAACCCCAAACCCCAAACCCCAAACCCCAAACCCCAAACCCCAAACCCCAAACCCCAAACCCCAAACCCTAAACCCTAAACCCTAAACCCTAAACCCAAAACCCTAAAACCCTAAAACCCTAAAACCCCAAACCCTAAAGCCCAAACCCTAAACCCGAAACCCGAAACCCCAAACCAAAACCCCAAACCCCAAACCCTAAACCCTAAACTCTAACACTAAAAACTTAAACCGTAAAACCTAAACCCCAAAACCCTAAACCGTAAACCCTAAACCCCGAAACCCTAAACCCCAAACCCTAAACCCTAAACCCTAACCCTGAAACCCCAAACCCTAAACCCAACCCTAAACTATAAACCCCAAGAAATGCGAGGCACCTGCCTGCTCTTCCTCGCGGCCGCTGCCGCGAGCCGACGGCAAAGAGGCCAGGAAGCAGTTCCGGCTTTGGGGTGTTTCGGGTTTACGGTTTAGGGTTTAGGGTTTAGGCTCAGGGTTGACGTTTTAGGGTTTGGGGTTTAGGGGGGTGTATGTAGGGTAGAGGACTGCCGGTTTAGGGTCAGCACGCCCGAGTACTTCCCCTGAACACCTTGACCCCATACAATTTAGGGTTTAGGGTTTAGGGTTTAGAGTTTAGGGTTCGGAGGTGAGGTTTGAAGTTTTCATCTCAGTTTAAGGCCCAGGATCTCAGGAGGGTTGCCCCCACGTGTTGTAAGTTGAGGCTTCGGGCACTCAAGCCCGGTAAGCCCCTGAGCCCCGCGATCGGGTGGCTCGGGTTCATGGGCGTTCCTGGGGCCCAGCTAATCCTCGCATCTATAGCCTGGAGACAGATCCCAAGATTCCTGAATCCCTAGTTTGAGGTTATAGACCTTAAACCTCAAATAGAGTCTGGGGTTTAGGGGGCTCCACAGGGGGGTTTGCGAAAATTAGGGACCCCAATAATAGACCCCCAAATAGCAGGACTCCCTTGTAATCAGGAGCAAATAAGGCACCCCTAGTTTCGGAAACCACCACTCCTCATGCCCACGCATCGAAATGTGCGGCAGCGATGTGACAGGCCTCAGGCGTCTGACGGCACGCCAGGCAACTGTTCAGGCGAGCGGGTCCGACCCTGAACAAAGGTTGAGTGTGTCAGGGTCTCAGGGTTGACTCGGACCCAGAGTAGGCCCTTATTCCTCTTCTTTTAAGGGCATTAGGTTCCCTTATAAGCCCCCTGTAAACCAAAAAGGGCACCCTTTGTTTTCCTAGGTTACTCCTGGGTTCAGGGTTGACGGTTTAGGGTCTTGGGTTGGAACGTTGTGAAGCTTTCCAGTGTGCCCTTCTTTTTTCGTTCTGGGTTCCCTTCTAGCGTAACCAAACCAAAAACGGGTGCCCTTATTTGAATATGGTGTCTGGGCTACCAAGATGGTTTCGGGTTTAGGAGCCCAAATGAAGGACCCCCCCAAAAAGGGGGTGCCCTTATTTGAACACGGTGTCTGGGCTACCAAGTAGTCGTTGCTCTTCACACCCAGCCCCATACCAGATGCTGCCCTCTGCTTCAGGATCAGTGGTTCGCCCGGCAGGCTGAGCAGAGGATCGTGCGGCACCCTAGAGCCCGGCTAAAGGTTTTGAACCCTAAACCCTCAAACCTACACCCAAAACCTTACACACACCCTAAACCCTACAGCCCTAAGCCCTTTGAACAAAAACTCACCCCCAAAAAAAAGTTCCCCAAAGCTATAAGGTTGGTGCCACCGAGAACCCCAAGCCTCAAGCAGCAAACCCTAACCCCTAAACCCTAAACCCTAAACCCTAAACCCTAAACCCTAAACCCTAAACCCTAAACCCTAAACCCTAAACCCTAAACCCTAAACCCTAAACCCTAAACCCTAAACCCTAAACCCTAAACCCTAACCCCTAAACCCTAAGCCCTAAACCCTAAACCCTAAAACCCTAAGCCCCGAACCCAAAAAGCGTAGGCTGGTAAGGGTTTGGGTCAGATTCAGAAGGGTATAAGGAGGGACCTGTAGAAGGGACCCTGAATCTTATTCCCTTGTATAGCCCCCTTTTTTAAAACCCTTGTCTACCTCTTAGATAACTCCTAAGGTCCCTTATGAGGGTCCCTCCTCTAAACCTAAACCCTAAACCCTAAACCCTAAACCCTAAACCCTAAACCCTAAACCCTAAACCCCAAACCCGAAGCCCTAAACCCTAAGCCCTAAACCCTAAACCCTAAACCTAAGCCCTAAACCCTAAGCCCTAAACCCTAAACCCTAAACCCTAAACCCTAAACCCTAAACCCTAAACCCTAAACCAGAGCGCGTGAATGTCAGGACTGCCTCCTCAGGAGAGCTTGCAGAGTGCTGAGCTCAGCTCCTTGGGGGTCGGTGTCAGCTGGGTCCAGGATGAGAAGGGTCTGGGGTTTAGGGTTTGGGGTTTAGGGTTTGGAGTTTAGGGTTTGGGGTTTAGGATTTGGGGTTTAGGGTTTAGGGTTTAGGGTTGAGGGTTTAGGGTTTCGGGTTTGGGGTTCGGGGTTTGGGGTTTGGGGTTTAGGGGATGGAGTCGCTGTCCAATTGCAAACTATTGATCAATGCAACGAAGGGACCTCGTTGAAGCCTCGGGCAGCGCAAGGAGTTTCGCAGGCTGAGCCTGTGCGAAGAGTTTCATGGGCCCTTAAATATGGTCCCCTTACTGTACCTCCTTGAAAGGGTTTTGATGCATGGGCCCTTATTATGTAGAGGGTATTTCAGGGGAAACCTTTTAAGAGCCTATACTAAGGCACCATATAGCTACCCTTAGAAAGGTGACGTGCGCTCATTCTTAGTCTGTGGACTCCCAGCATGGCTTCCGCCGCCACTCCTGAGCCATGATTCGATGTGGGAAGAAGAAGAAGGGGACCCCAACTTTTTATTCCCAAATAGTAGGTTTGTTCTAGCCTGGCAGTTTCTTGTCCTGGGTGGGGTGGGGGTACATTCATGCTCAACCCTATGAGGCCTAAACCCTAATTCAACCCAAGCGGTGCACCCAAGCCACTGCACCCAAACAAACACACCTAAACAAGGACTCAACCCTAAACCCTCAACACCTAAACCTCAAGCCCTAAACTTAAAACCCCTAAACTCCTAAAGCCCTAAAACCCGAAACCACAAAACCCCGAAACCCCAAAACCCCCCCAACCCCTAGACCCCCTAAACCCTAAACCCCCTCAACCCTAAACCCTAAACCCTAAACCCTAAACCCTAAACCCTAAACCCTAAACCCTAAACCCGAAACCCTAAACCCTAAACCCTAACCCCCTAAACCCCTCAAAACCTAAACCCCAAAACCCTTAACCCCTCAAACCCAAAACCCTAAACCCTAAAACCCGAAACCCCCTAAACCCTAAGACCCGAAGGCCCTAAATCCCCTCAACCCCAAAGCCAAAACCCTAAACCCTAAGACCCTGAATCCCCTCAACCCCAAAGCCAAAACCCCAACCCCTAAGACCCTAAGACCCTAAGACCCCAAGACCCCAAGACCCTAAGACCCTAAGACCCTAAGACCTTAAGACCCTAAGACCCTAAGACCCTAAGACCCTAAGACCCTAAGACCCTAAGACCCTAAGACCCTAAGACCCTAAGACCCTAAGACCCTAAGACCCTAAGACCCTAAGACCCTAAGACCCTAAGACCCTAAGACCCTAAACCCTAAACCCTAAACCCTAAAGCCCTAAAACCCTAAGCCCCCTAAACCCCGAAGACCCTTCAACCCCTCGAACCCCAAAGCCTAAAACCCTAACCCTAAACCCTAAACCCTAAACCCTAAACCCTAAACCCTAAACCCTAAACCCTAAACCCTAAACCCTAAACCCTAAACCCTAAACCCTAAACCCTAAACCCTAAACCCTAAACCCTAAACCCTAAACCCTAAACCCCAAAGCCAAGTAGGCGCGGCCTGGCTCTCTTGGACTCCGTGGAGGCCCCGGCGCGGACCCAGGCGGAACACAGCGTTGGGTTTCGGCTTTTAGGGTTTAGGGTTTAGGGTTTAGGGTTTAGGGTTTAGGCTTTTCGGGTTTAGGGGTTTAGGGTTTAGGGTTTTAGGGTTTAGGGTTTAGGCTTTCGGTTTTTAGGGTGTAGGGTTCAGGGTGTAGGGTTTCGGGTCTAATTAGTGCTTATAGGCTTTATAGGCTTTCGTGTTTATAGGGTTGAGGTATAGGGAGGGTTTAGGGTGTAGGGTTTTGGGGTTTAGGGCTTATGGTTTAGGGTTTGTGCATGTAGCGTTTCGCTGCGCAGGGTTGCAGGGGCGTTCTGTCGGCTGCGAAGTATGTCATGTGGTGCCTCCAAACGTCAATCTTTGCGTATGCCGACGCGTTTCAAAGCAAAGGTCTATGTACGAACCCCTAAACCCCCAACTCCTAAACCCTAAACCCTAAACCCTGAAGCAAAGGCCTTTGCAAGTACATGTTTCACAGCGCACAATGCCTATGTAAGTTGATGCACATCAATGCAAAGGTCTATGTACAAGCCCCTAAACCGCGAAAACTTGAAATGTTCCCCGTTGTCCTCAATAGGGATTATAATAGGGGATACTATGATCCCTAATAAGGACTGTTAGTAACTGTGAGTATAAAAGGGGAACATCCCAACCTAAACTAAACCCCTAACCCTCTAAACCTTCAAACCCCCCAAGCCTCCAAACCGCTCAACCCCTTAGACCCTCTAAACCCCCTACACACGCTAAACTCCCTAAACCCCCTAAGCCCCCAACCCTCTAAACCCTTAACGCCCCTAAACCCCCTAAACCTCAAAGCCCCTTAAACCCCCTAAACCTCTATACCCTTCAAGCCCCTGAACCCCCTGAACACCCTAAACCCTGCAACGCCTAAACCCTAAACCCTAAACCCTAAACCCTAAACCCTAAACCCTAAACCCTAAACCCTAAACCCTAAACCCTAAACCCTAAACCCTAAACCCTAAACCCTAAACCCTAAACCCTAAACCCTAAAACGCCTAAACCCTAAAACGCCCTACACCCCCTTGAACGCCTAACCCTTCAGCCCTAAGCCCCGAACCCCCTGAACCCCCGCCCCAAAGCCCCCTTGAACGCCTCAAAGCCTCAAAGCCCCTAAACCCTAAACCCTAAACCCTAAACCCTAAACCCTAAACCCTAAACCCTAAACCCTAAACCCTAAACCCTAAACCCTAAACCCTAAACCCTAAACCCTCAAGCCCCTTAGAACTTCTCTCAAAGACCGGGAAAGGAAGCCTTCCGCTACACAGATTTGGAGGCGCTCCTCTACGGCCCTCAGCCTGAACACATCGGGGGATGCCGGAAGGCTTCGGGTTTAGGGTTTAGGGTTTAGGGTTTAGGGTTTAGGGTTTAGGGTTTAGGGTTTAGGGTTTAGGGTTTAGGGTTTAGGGTTTAGGGTGTTTTTAGGGTTTAGGGTTTAGGGTTTTTGTGCTTGTTGACAAGTTCGCTCCGGACGTGTGTACAAGAGCGACGATCATTTAGAGAAACCCTTGCAGTTTTGGTGTGCACTGTCTTTGGAGGGCTTTTGGGGTTTAGGGTTTTAGGGTTTTAGGGGTTTAGGGCTTTAGGGCTTTAGGGTTTTAGGGTTTTAGGGTTTTAGGGTTTTAGGGTTTTAGGGTTTTAGGGTTTTAGGGTTTTAGGCTTTAGGGTTTTAGGGTTTTAGGGTTTTAGGGTTTTAGGGTTTTAGGGTTTTAGGGTTTTAGGGTTTTAGGGTTATAGGGTTTAGGGTTTCGAGTTTAGGGTTAGGGGGTAGGGTTTCGAGTTTAGGGTATTTGGGGTTTCGGGGCTCTGCCAAAAACACCGGCCAAGGATTGCCAGAGGATTCCAGCGATCCTCCTGAGGCTGGCTGTTTCGAAAAGAACGATTCACGGTTTAAGGGTTTCGGGTTGGAGTCCTTCCCAAATTCGGGTGGGAATTTCTACCTCCAAATATAGGACTCCCCTTGCAAAGGACTCCCATTCTGTCCCCCTTAACCGGCGCATTCTAAGCAAGTCGGCGCGCACATCATAAACCCCAAACCCTAAACCCTAAACCCTAAACCCCAAACCCTAAACCCTAAACCCTCAACCCTCAACCCTAAACCCTAAACCTAAACCTTAAACCCCTAAACCCTAGACGACGTTTCTCTCCGGCTCTCAGCCAAGATGTGCCGATTTACGCTGTCACTGTCGACTCCTTCGTTCGTTCCTTCAACCCTGAAGCCTCAATATTGCACCCGAAGCCCTAACTTTGCCCTAAACCCTAAACCCTGAAACCCTAAACCCTAAACCCTAAACCCTGAAACTTCAACCCTAAACCCTAAACCCTAAACCCTAAACCCTGAACCCTGAACCCTGAACCCTAAACCCTAAACTCAGATTGGGAAGGTGGACTTGGAAGCAAGCCTGGTTCCGATGCTGGAGGACGACGAGGCCGGGAACCGAAGTCTGCTCGGGTCATGGCAGCTCAAAGTCCACCCTAAACCTTACACCGTAAACCCTAAACCCTAACCCTAACCCTAACCCTAAACCCTAAACCCTAAACCCTAAACCCTAAACCCTAAACCCTAAACCCTAAACCCTAAACCCTAAACCCTAAACCCTGAACCCTGAACCCTAAACCCTCAACCCTAGTCCCTAAAACCTAAACCCTAAACCCTCATGGGTTCAGGGCTTCAGTCCCAGCAGACGCCAGGCATATCGGCTGGTGTTCGTGGATGGTGAGCTGCAGTCAGGCAGGGATGCGGGTTTAGGGTTTGGGGGTTTGGCGGTTTGGGTTTAGGGTTTAGGGTTTAGGGTTTAGGGTTTAGGGTTTCGGGTTTAGGGTTTAGGGTTTAGGGTTTAGGGTTTAGGGTTTAGGGTTTAGGGTTTAGGGTCTAGGGTTTTGGGTTTTGGGTTTTGGGTTTAGGGTTTAGGGTTTAGGGTTTAGGTTTCTGAGCCCTTCCGCCGAAGCCCGCCACAAGTTGTCCCGCCAAGAAGACCTCTGCGTTCCAAGGGTCTGGCCGCAAGCCTTTCATGCGTCTGGGTGCATGAGCTTGCGAGTCTTTGCAGGGAGCGATTCTCGCAGCAAAAGGGGCTGCTTGACAGTAGCACTGATCCGAAACCCTAAGCCCTGAGCCCTGAACCCTGAACCCTAAACCCTAAACCCTAAACCCTAAACCCTAAACCCTAAACCCTAAACCCTAAACCCTAAACCCTAAACCCTAACCCTAAACCCTAAACCCTCAACCCTAAACCCTAAACCCTAAACCCTAAACCCTGAAACCCTAAACCCTAAACCCTAAACCCGACTAGGAAAGTTCCTGCGAACAGGCCTGAGCCGCCTGCCCAGCAGCGAGGCCCCAGGGCTCATAGCAGGGCCTGAGAGCAACAACAGCCCTTCTGAAGTGTGAAAAATGGTTTGAGGTTTAGGGTTTAGGGTTTGGGGTTTAGGGTTTAGGGTTTAGGGTTTAGGGTTTAGGGTTTAGGGTTTAGGGTTTAGGGTTTACAAGACATATTGCCATTTTAAAGGTTCATTGTTTTTCTTAATCTTATTAGTGTTATGATGAATGAAGTGTTACAAGCATATTAATAAGAATAATGACTGTTGCTATTGTCATTATCCTTAATTTTTCTTGATAAGAATCTGTGGGCTTCCCAGCGCTAGAATCTTGTCCTCGAAGGTCACAGGAGAGCTGTCGATTCCCTCTCCTCACGAAGGGGTGCGGCGAGATGAAGGAACCCCCCCCCCACCAAGCGGACAACGATGAACACGACACTCCACGCAAGCTGGGGCTGGCCCGCGTAGGGCTTTCCCCAGGGTCTAGGTGCTCCGCTGGGAGAGATTCAGAGGATCTCGGAGGAGCTGCTGCCATTGCAGAAGGAGCCTTAACCTCTGGACCCAACGCATCCCGGTCCCGTAGCCCAACGAAGTCATCCAGGGTGCTCCTGCCCAAGACCCTGAGCTGAAACGAGTTCAGCCCTGCACCCAGAATCAGGGGTTTAGGGGGTGCTCAAGATGTCTTGTGGATCCACAACCGGCAAACGACAACTTTGAAATACATTAGCTGGAGGCGAGTACGGCCGTTTCACGACTTGGTCGTACTTGTCACTCTCGAACAGACTTCAGCCGGTTCGCCTGTGCATCTATCGTCATTGGACAGATATAAAGAGCCCGGCACTCGTCTTGACATTCCTATGGCAGTTAAGGCCTTCTCTTGTACGATGCTGTGTTCAGCTTGCGTGCACTTGACGAGCTCCTGAATCACATGCAGAAAGATGGTCACCTGCTTCCCAAGTGCAGGCCGACAAAGCTTGAGAGATGGGTATTCCGATTCATGGAAGCTATTCCGCCACCGAAGAGGCAAGGTCGCAAACTCCATCTTGGCTGTGTTCACTGGTGCGATCCTGCTGCTTTGCGCCACCAATTCAAGACATATTTCCAGCGCTGACGCGGGCGACTGCGTTTGCTTCCATGACTGAGACATGAAAACTTCTGCAATGCCCAGAGAAAGCGCGGGCCCATCAAGCAAAGGTTGGGCACACGTCGGTACTTGAAATCCCTAACAAGGGCCAGTTTGTCCTTGTCCTTGTCCAGCCCTAATAACCTTAACCCGCTTGGGGGGTTTTAGGGGTTTAGGGGGTGCAAAGTTAGGGGAGGATGCCTGAGGTTTTTGGGGGTTGAGGATGTTGGGTCTTCTTGTTGGGGGTGTAGGATTTAAGGGTCAAGCCTGTCCCTCAACCCTCAACCCTCAACCCTCAACCCTCAACCCTCAACCCTCAACCCTAAACCCTAAACCATAAACCCTAAACCCTAAACCCAGGATTGAGGAGTTGAGGGTTTTGGGGGGTTCGGGCTTTCCTAGGGCGCGGCTTGGGGCAGGGGACCTTCCTGGGTGGGCTGGAAGACCTGCACGGGTCGGGCGGGCGCCTCAGTTTAGGGTTTAGGGTTTAGGGTTTAGGGTTTGGGGTTTGGGGTTTAGGGTTTAGGGCTCAAAGCCTAACAGCAGTGATATGATGACCCTGAGGATTTTGCCGGTTTCAGGTTGTTTTTTGGGCTGGTTGGGGGGTACCGGCTTGGGTACTCGCACTTTGGTAGACTCTTGCGAACTTCACAGTGCAGCACGCCTGTTGCGAAGCCACGAAGGCCATGCTTTGTCGTGCGTTTAAGCCGCCAGAAGTGGTGCATCTCTCGTGGCATCGAACTCGTCACAGCACGCATGGAAATACCGCTGCGCGCCAGGTTTTCGAAAGGAAAAACGTTCAAAAAGCAAGGGCTTTGGAAATCGGACATTGCATGTTTCGAAAACATCACTGTGGGCAGCCTGCTCGTGCGCGGGTGGGGGCAGGGGGGGAAAGCGAAGTCTGGTGGCAGTGGTGATATTGAGCAGAACGCGTGCGTGCAAACAACATGTGTTTTCATTTATTCACGTTTTGCTGCGTTGCACCCAGAAATACTATGTCGAAAATCACCAGGGTCACAATGCGTGGCGTTGCCAGGTGAAAAGTGTCGGGGCTTTAGGGCTTAGGCGTTTTGGGTTGGGCCTTAGGGCTCCCTAAACCCTAAACCCTAAACTCTAAACCCTAAACCCTAAGCCCTATTTTGGGAGCCTTTTATGTTGACTGCCAGGGCCTTCGGGCATCTGTCCCAGACTGCTCCGCGATCCGAGGTGGGGACACGAAGAGCCGGTTTGACGGCTTGCTGCAGCAGTTGCTGGGGCCTCGTGAGTTCTGCTTATTGTTGCGGTTCAGGGTTCAGGGTTTAGGGTTTAGCGTTTTAGCGTTTGTGTTTAAGGCTTGATTATTCAATGCCACTACCATTCTGTCTTGATCGTTTGAGAACAGTTTCAGCCGATCCAGCAATGCGGCCGCACGTACAATCCACGGTTGCCACGGAAAGGCACGAACGTTAACCTCTGGGCCCTAAACCCCGCAAGTAGTAGGACCAGTAGAGAGGTCCTTGTTGCATGCCTCGAAACCTTTTCCGAAACTAACTTTTAGCCCGAAATCCCCCAAATACATCCCCCAAATCGGGTTTAGGGCATAGGCCATGGGGCATAGGGTCTTGGGTAAAGGGTTGTATCGCGCAACACCAATAACACCAATGAAGTACATAAGTACATACACACACACATATATATATATATACATATATACATAAACATATGTAATATGTATGTATATATATATACATACATATTGTCTCATTGTATGTATGTATATATATATGTATGTATTCAGCTGCATGTTTATATGTATTGGTGCATGGGTTCCTGCAACTCTGCAGCAGGCCAGAGGTGGACCTCTTCGAAGCCAACCCGAGAGACAGGCGAGGAGAGGAGCCCTAAGCCCTTCAAAGCCCCCGAAGCCCCAAAAGCCCCTGAGGTTTAGGGTTTAGGGTTTTGGGTTTAGGGTTGAGGCCCCTAAAGCCCCTAACACCCCTGAGGCACCCTAAAGCCCCTAAAACGCCCAAAAAACCCCCTAAAAGCACCAACAGTCTTCTGAATAGGGAATTCGGAAAGAAGGGACCCATACATCCCACCTCAGCCTTTTTAGGGCTATCTATAGGGCACCTATAGTTGCCGGATTTTTTTGGGAAGAGCTAGCATGTGAAGCCTGAATCATATGGCGGCTTTCTCTAAGACATCGGGCTGTCTGCGGGGGCGTTTGGGGGCTGAACCCTTGGCTCTCCCAGAAAGCCCGCTTTCTTGAAAACCTGCCGGGCTTCGCCGCAGAGACCTCCGAAGCAGGCTTTTTCAGCAAGATTATCTCGGGAAGCCTTCACATGGGCGGAGAGCCTCAACGCGAATGCAGAAGAGTTTGCGGGGGGTGGGGGGTCGGCGGGGGTTGCCAAGGCAGCGCGAGCGCGCATCGCCCGCATGCGCAAGCAGCGCGGGCGTGCCCTCGCATGGCAGAGCCGAAGCGCTTAACGCCCAAGCCCTCCACACCCTACATCCCCCCATGTGGGGGTTTCCGAACGTCATGAATGATAAGGGAATCCTACTATTTGGGAGTCTATTTTTGGGGGTCCCTTAAACCCTAAACCCTAAACCCTAAACCCTAAACCCTAAACCCTAAACCCTAAACCCTAAACCCTAAACCCTAAACCCTAAACCCTAAACCCTACGCCCTAAACCCTAACCCCTAAACCCTAACCCCTAAACCCTAAACCCTAAACCCTAAACCCTAAACCCTAAACCCTAAACCCTAAACCCTAAACCCTAAACCTTAAGCCCCCCGTGTCACCTTGTGCATTGCAAGGCTGGGCTGCGCCAAGCTCGCGGCGCTGAATCAGGCTCAGAACCGGGAGCTTAGGGGCTTAGGGACTCGGTAGCCCTAAACCCTCAACCCTAAACCCTCAACCCTAAACCCTAAACCCTAAACCCTAAACCCTAAACCCTAAACCCTACACCCTACACCCTAAACCCTAAACCCTAAACCCTAAACCCCAAACCCCAAACCCCAAACCCAAAAACAGGCACTTGGGACATTTTAACTTTTCCTGAGTGGGTTTAAGAGGATCACATTCAAGAATATTTTTTCGAGGGTTTTGAGGGCCATCCCAGCGGAGCATGGGAGCTGCTTCGGGGCTGAGGGTATTAAGAACTTTGGGTTTAGGGTTTAGGGTTTAGGGTTTAGGGTTACCAAATTCAGAAGTTTTGGGGGTTGTAGGGTGCAGGGTTTTGAAACAGACGTTGGTGACAGAGATCTTCCAACACAAGGACGCACTAGACGGTACCGGTGAGCGGTTGCATCATGAACGAGGCACTGCGTGAGCGCCACTCATCCGAACACGTGATCTGTGAGTGAGATTGAAGATGGAGGTGATATGTCTTAGTGGTACAGCCTTTGGGGGGGGGTTTCATCTGGCACCTTGAGCCCTCTGGTATTCGACCGGGTTTCCGTCAGCCAAGCATCGTTCCTCACAGTCGTGTCCTGGTGGCCCAACGCCATTTTTACGGGGAAGCCGGCATTATATTGTAGGTGGTCAAGTCTCCTGGTGTCTGAGGCGTAGTGAATGTGTTGTTCGGGGGGGCTTCCTGCGAACCAAGACATGAGAGTTAGGTGTTTCAAGGTGTGATAGGTTGACGAGGCTTTGCGGAGTTGCAGGATTTCCAGGTGTCTTGGAATTTAGGACGGACTTTAAAGAGGTTAGGAGAAGGGCATCACGGGGCAACACCGAAAGCAGCCTATAGAGTTTGCATGTGACAGGTCTTGTCCTACCAGAAAATGCAGCGATGGGTTTCAGACGAAAGTCTCAGAGCAAAACCCCAATAATTCCTCTATCCCAGGAGGGAATGAGGGAATGAGGGAATGAGGGAATGAGGGAATGAGGGAATGAGGGAACGAGGGAATGAGGGAATGAGGGAATGAGGGAACGAGGGAATGAGGGAATGAGGGAATGAGGGAATGAGGGAATGAGGGCCCTACATAGCCTTTAAGGGGCTTTAGAGGGGCCCGAATCACTTCATCACCTACAAGAATTCTGGAGGCTATCTTCAAGGATGCTGCCTGTGTGGCGCTGCACGAGGCGGGAGTTGTCTGGGCTCCTGGAGTGCCGGGGTTTAGGGTTTAGGGTTTAGCGTTTAGGGTTTAGGGTTTAGGGCTTAGAGTTTAGGGTTTTAGGGTTTAGGGTTTAGGGTATGTCCCTTTGAACACACACCAAACGTCTAGCGGAATACGCCGCAGTCTTGCACCATAGTTGAGCAGAGTATACTACCTCAAGGGCGGGAGCAGCCCAGAAAAGCCTTCAAAGAAATCCAACTGTTTTGGGCCTAAAGAGCCCTCAGTTAAAGGTCCTCAAGAGCCCTTAGCCTTAACCTAAACCCTAAACCCTAAACCCTAAACCCTAAACTCTAAACCCTAAAAACCCCAATCCAGTAATCTGGAATCCTCGCTCCCAGGCCCCAGCACCGGAGATGCATCTGGACATCGCCCGCTGCCCGGTGGTTTAGGGTTTAGGGTTTAGGGTTTAGGGTTTAGGGTTTAGGGTTTAGGGTTTAGGGCTTCCGCGGGGCGTTAGGGCCCTGATCTCATCGAATACAGTCGCATTCTGCAGTGTTGTCATCGTCCTCCTCCTCCTCTGCTGCTGCTGCTACTACTACTACTACCACTGCTACTACTACTACTACTACTACTACTACTACTACTACTCCTACTCCTACTCCTACTCCTACTCCTTCTCCTACTCCTACTCCTACTCCTACTCCTATGCTGCTATTGCTACTGCTACAGCTACTGCTGCTGCTACTGCTACTGCTACTACTACTACTACTACTACTGCTACTACTACTACTACTACTACTACTACTACTACTACTACTACTACTACTACTACTACGACTGCTACTACTACTATCACCACTACCACTACCGCTACCGCTACCACTACCGCTACCGCTTCCGCTACCACTACCACTACCAAATTTTTATTCAGGTGTTTGCCACGACGGGCGCGTGCCACGGGCCAAGCTTCCGGCTTTTGGCAACCGGCTGGCTTGCTCTGAATTATACGGAACTCAAAATGGTTTGGGGCTTTTAGGGTTTAGGGTTTTGGGGTTTGAGGTTTAGGGTTTGGGGTTTGGGGTTGGGGGTTTGGGTTTAAGGCCTAGGAGGGTTTGGCTTCAGGGTGCGTGTAGGGCTTAAGCGGTTAGTAGGGCCGGAAGGGTTGCCAACATAAGGAGAAGCATATTAATGTGACATATGTACCACCTCTGATGCTGGCTGAATGTAAGATCCTCAGCCCTTTAACCCTAAACCCTAAACCCTAAATCCTAAACCCTAAGCCCTAAACCCTAAACCCTAAACCCTAAATCCTAAAGCGCTAGACCGAGGTTCCCTCACAGCAGCCCAGTCTTTATCTCATCGTGTCTTTCATCCCGGGTGCGCGTGTTTTGGGCTTCGAGGCTCTAGGGTCCGGGGTTTGGGATTTAGGGTTTAGGGTTTAGGGTTTTTTGGGGGTTAGAGGGTCTTTGCTTCTTTGCCGTTAGCCCCATTTGGCGTCTCAAGCTTCAAAGCGTGTTCCGAACTGTTCCAAGTTGGGAGAACCCTAAACCCTAAATCCTAGACCCTGAACCTCTGAAGCCTCAACTCTCAACCCTAAACCCCAAACCCCAAACCCTAAGCCCCAAACCCTAACAAAACGAAAGGTTTTCCATGTACAAGCTCCCAACCTTAAGCGCGCGAGACGAAAGGGCTTCACCCCAAGATCCTCTTCTGGCTGGCTTTTTGGGTTTAGGGTTTGGGGTTTAGGGTTAGGGTTTAGGGTTTAGGGTAGTAGGGAATGAGGGAATGAGGTACCCTGTGTCTTTGGGTACCTCATTCCCCCATTCCCTACCAAGAGCCGGGGTTCTTTATATACTCAAGCCCCAAAATCTCCAGCACCCGTTTGGGGTGCAGGGTTTTGTTGAGGGATTTTTTACGGGGTTCAGGAAGTCTATGGGGCTTAAAGCCCTAACCCCTGCACCCTAAACCGGCAAATTGAGGCGGCACCGCCCCACGAATTGTGCTGGATGTCGGAAGTGGGCAGAAGCTGAAGGCCAATGATTCGCTGAAGGTTTACGTATTTAAATCGGCTTTAGGTTTACTTTCAAGGGCGCCTTAGGGTTTTCTGGGGGGTTTTTGGGGTTGGGGGTTTGGGTGTGTCCACGATTTTGGTCGCTTAGGATTCGGGCTCTGGGATGTTAGCTTTGGCGCATTTGGCCCCCCTTCAGGGAAGGATGCTTCTTGCGACTTGGCTTGTCGGGCTTTTTGGGGGTCGTGAGGGAGTCGTGGCTCTTTTGGGGGCGTACGGCTTTCTGGTTTGGGGTTTGGAAGTGTGTCGGTTTCGAGCAGCGGGTCCAGAAGAGGGACAGCGCAATAGGCCAGCTGTGGGGTGCCCATCGCAAGGCCGAAGTCACCCGGGCAGTTCTCGAAATCAGTTGGGCTTCCAAAGTATAAAGGGTCCTTGTTCTAGGAGGTACCTAAAAACGAGACCCAAACTTCGTCAGCCCAATAAACCCTAAACCCTAAACCCTAAACCCTCAATCCCTACACCTAAAGTGCATCAATCTCAGCTTGCCGCATAGGTCCTGGAGACTCATCTCAGCCTCTCAGAGTCGGGGCCGCAGCCGTGGCATCGTGATGGACCTTCCCTGGGGCACATATGTATGTATGCATGTATGTATATGTATGTATGTATGTATGTATGTCTAGGGTTTAGGGTTTAGGGTTTAGGGTTTAGGGTTTAGGGTTTAGGGTTTAGGGTTTAGGGTTTAGGGTTTAGGGTTTAGGGTTTAGGGTTTAGGGTTTAGGGTTTAGGGTTTAGGGTTTAGGGTTCCCAGCTTCAAAACATGTGAGGTCTGACGAAGCGCTCTCCAACGGCCTCTGCCGCGTGGCTTGGCCTCCATTCACGCTGTGCCTTAGACCTTGAAGCCTTTAAAACCCCCTGTGCTCGTAAACCCATGAACATCTCCTAAACGGCCTGAAGGCCCCAAACGCCCCCAAACCTCCCTTAGACCCCCTCAAGGGCCTAAATTTTAGGGCCTAAATCCCCTAACTAAGCAGCCTAACCTCCCCAAACCCCTAAACCACTCCTAAAACCCTGGCCCTGAACCCCAAGCCCCGAAGCAGAGGGTTCAACGGTTTGCCGGCTTGTGGGGTGTGGGGTTGAGGTTCTGTCTCGGTTTTGGGCTTGATGGTTCTGCCCACTACAGGATTTCAGGGTTTAGGATTTGGGTTGTAGGGTGCAGGGTTCAGGGTTTACGGTTCATTTGGGGTTCAAGGTTTACGAGTTAGGCATAGGACGCCATTGCAGTGAAGTTGCTGGATACAGGAGTACGCATCTAGCACCAGAAGTTCGACATTGGCTCACGCCCCTTTCACCAACACCGAGTTGGCCAGAATCCCATATCGCCCCCCTGCACAACATGCCCAAAACCTGTCCAACCAGCCACAAAACTACAACAATAACCAACAACCAAAACATGCCACGCAGCCCCCCCCCCCCCCCCCCCCCCCAATTCTCCCCAAGCCACCAATAGACACCCGATGCGAAGTAAACACCGAAACCCGCCCAAAACCTGCCCAACACTTTCGCTCAAAGCCCGCCCAAATCTCCGAACCCTAAACCCCTGCACCCCTGAATCCTATACAACTGCTACAAACCCCCTTTAAAATGTTGCGATAGACCCCCAAAACACCCAAAACGCTGGGGTTTAGCCCCAGAGTCGGGCGCAGGTAGTCGCGGGAGAGGGTGCGGAGGCCGGGTCCGGTGGTTTCCTGAAAGCTTAGGGCTCAGGGGTTTAAAGTCTAGGGTTCATCGGGTTTAGGGTTTTTAGGGTTTTTTTTTGAAGTTTTTGGGGTGTTTAGGGTTTTCAGGGCTTTTAGGGTTTTTAGGGTTTTCAGGGTTTTTGGAATTTTTAGGTTTTTTTTTAGGTTTTTTGTAGGGGTTTTAGGGTTGTTTGGGTTCATATAGGGTTTACAGGCTTTATGGGGTCCATAGGGTTTCTGGGGTTTAGAGGGTTCATGGATGAGAGGGTTTAGGGTTTACAGGGTTTGCAGGGCTTACAGCAGGGTTTTCAGGGTCTGCAGGGTCTGAAGGTTTACAGGGTTTACACAGGTTAGAGTTTAGGGTGTAGAATCTGGGGTTATAGGGTTTAGGGCTCCGGGAGTAGGTTGGTTGGTTGGTTGGTTCAGAGACACCGATGTGCCATCTCTGGGCAGAGAAGGGGAGTGACCTGAGTGCTTGCACTGACAGGTGCCCCAGCCCCCAGAAAGCCAAAGCCACCACCGCGGCAGCGCATAAAATGCCTCCGGGAAGCCCCTGTCTCAAGCGTCCTGAACTCTAAACCTACACCAAAGACCCAAAAGCCTCGGCCCGAGCCCTTGACCCTAAACCCCAAACCCTAAACCCCAAACCCCACAAACCCTAAACCCTAAACCCTAAACCCTAAACCCTAAACCCTAAACCCTAAACCCTAAACCCTAAACCCTCAACCCTCAACCCTCAACCCTAAACCCTAAACCCTAAACCCTAAACCCTAAACCCTAAACCCTAAACCCTACCAAGAGGTGGACCACGAGGTGCTCCAGCAGAAGGCTCCCAAAGCCCGCTGGGTGCAATCTGTGATGGCGGAGGCCCCTGGAAAGGTTCTTGGGGAGTCTCGGGTTTTTTTGAGGGATTTTCAGGTTTCTAGGGTTTCTAGACTTCCTTGCATGTCTAGAATTTCTAGAGTTTCTGGAATTTCTAGGTTTTCCAGGGTTTTTTTTGGGGATTCTTGGGCCTTTCTTGGTTTGGGGTTCGCGGTTCTTAGGGTTTAGGGCGTTTTGGGGCTTAGGCTAGGGTTTTGGGCTTTGTTGTTCTTTGGGCTTGGGGTTTGGGTTTTGACGTTTTCAGGTCAGGGGTTTTGGGGTCATGTAAGAGGCTCCTAATTCAGAACAAATACCTGCGCCTTTCGGCAAGGTTTGGGCTTTCGGGCAGTGGGGTTTTAAAAGTTTTAAGGCTTAGGGTCGGTAAGGTCTAGTCACACCAGAGGCTGCATGGAGTTGCGCGCGGGAGCATTGGATGGTTTGTCTTCTTCCCGAAGTGTCCATGTACCTCTACAGAATGTGAAGGGTTTCTAAAAACTGACTTCGGGGCCTAAGTAATATATATTATGTGCACTCTTTTCATACAAGTACATGGGCCCTCAGGACATGGCCAGGGTAGCAGAAGGCTAAGGGACGTCGGCTTCATTAGAAGTTGAAGGTAGGGCCCTAATGAGGGCAATACCAGTCCTACCCTGCTTATGGCCCAGAAACCGGTATCTAGGTCAAGGCATTGCAGCATTCAGTCGGACCCCACATCCAACCCACAAACCCTAACCTACCCTGTCGCAGTTTCAGGGCTCGAGCTAGGCAGAGAGCCTTCTGCATTTCATGTTGGGGGTCGATCTCAATTGCGGCCCGATTTGAAGCTCTAGGGGTCGTACTTCGAACAAAGTTAGAGACCCGAGAAGGCGCCGCAATTTAGAAGCACGTCTATGTGATCATGGCTGCCATGATCTAACACTCTATGGGCGACATGTCAGCCTCTCAGGGTTGTGCGACGTGTCTGCGGACATCATCTGTTTCGACATCTGAACAGTGAAAGAGCAGCAAGGATGTCCCAAAACAGCAGGAATGTCGACGGCTGTCTATGCAGCACCGGCCTAGAACCTCCTTGCACCCCAGTGTGCCCCCATAGGCTCTAACCAACCTTTGATCTTGGTTTGCCATCCAGTGCCATCCATCAACAGCGGCCATGACGGAGCCTGCTCCAGCGAAGCCACAGGACTCCAGACCTTCTCGGCTTATCGTTTCAGTAGTCACAGTCACGATAGCAAATCACGCCGGCTAGGTACTTCTAACCGGATACCTCAATAACCTCCAAGTAGTTTTTTTCCACCGCAGGAGCCGTACCACTGGAACCAGTCCGAGGAGGACCTGACCCTGACTGCTTGCTTGGATCCCTCCGTGCAGAAGGGGGAGGTGATGTGCAAGGCACGGCGGGATCTTAGTAAGCTATCAAAAGCATCATCGTCGTCAACATGTCCGTGATGGTGGTAAGGAATCTTCGTAATGATCATAATCGTCATCATCATCATCATCATCATAATCATCATCATCATCATCATCATCATCATCACCTCAGTGATGGTGGTAACAATGACGAGTTAAAAGAGCTGATCAGAGTGCCCCGGCTGCTGCCATCAGCTTCAGGTTCTCGCATCAACCACTTTCATCTGCTCCCTGCGGCTCACTTGGGTATCAAGACCCCCCCCCCCTCTCTCCCAGCCCAAACAAAAGTCCAGAGCAACCCCCAAAAAGACGTTGCTGGCGGCGGCAGGTTCTGAAGGATTCCCTGCACGTTGAGGTGGCCGGCGAGGGCCTCAAGCCTCAAGCCTCAAGCCTCAAGCCTCAAGCCTCAAGCCTCAAGCCTCAAGCCTCAAGCCTCAAGCCTCAAGCCTCAAGCCTCAAGCCTCAAGCCTCAAGCCTCAAGCCTCAAGCCTCAAGCCTGAAGCCTCAACCCCAAACCCTAAACCCCAAACCCTCAACCCGTAAACACGTAAACCCTGAACCCGTAAACCCTACGATCTTACTGCAATGGTCAACAGCAACCACTTTGGTGGCCCATGTACTATAGGGGTAATCGAAACCTCAAAGCCTTCAAACCCTCAGGGCTTAGGGTTGAGGGTTCCCGGAACCCCTGAGCCCTGAACACCCCACTCCCTAGAGCCCATATCCTAAGCTGGATTAGGGTTTTAGGGGTTTCGGGTTTAGGGTTTGGGGTTTAGGGTTTAGGGTTTAGGGTTTGGGGTTTCGGGTTTCGGGTTTCGGGTTAAGGGTTTAGGGTTTAGGGTTTGGGGTTTCGGGTTTCGGGTTTAAGTTTGGGGTTAGGAGGTAGGGGGTTAGCAATCAGGGGCAGCACGCCGAGGCAGAGAGATCTGCAAAGGTGAGCTGGCGCGTGAGGTCGACCCAGAGGAGCTGCTCGGATTCTGTTGGCTTCGGGTTTAGGGTTTAGGGTTTAGGGTTTAGGGTTTAGGGTTTAGGGTTTAGGGTTTAGGGTTTAGGGTTTAGGGTTTAGGGTTTAGGGTTTAGGGTTTAGGGTTTCGGGCGAGGGTTTAGGGTTTAGGGTTTAGGGTTTAGGGTTTAGGGTTTAGGGTTTAGGGTTTAGGGTTTAGGGTTTAGGGTTTCGGGTTCAGGGTTTAGGATCTAGGGTTTAGGGTTTAGGGCTTTTGGGTTTCTTGTTTTTGCTTGTTGCTTCTGAGTTTTAGGTTTATGGTGGAGGGTCTATAAGGGGTTGCTAGTAGTTCTTTTTGGCACCTGGGTTTTGGGATTTGGTGACTTAGATTTTGTAGGTACAAAGCCCTAAACCCTAAACCCTAATCCCTAAACCCTAAACCCTAAACCCTAAACCCTAAACCCTAGACCCTTTTGGGGCTTGGGGTTGCAGGGACCTTGGTTTGGTATGCGGGTATCCTTCGGGCTTGGGGCTACGGCTTTCTTTGTGGCAACGTCTGCGGACCAAAGAAACCCTAAACCCTACCAAACCCTAGGGTTTCCTAGGGTTTCCTAGGGTTTAGGGTTTTAGGGTTGTAGGGTTGTAGGGTATTAGGGTTTTAGGGTTTTAGGGTTTTAGGGTTTTTAGGGTTCCAGAAAGTGCGTCTGCCCTTGTGAGGTCCAGCTGGGTACTTGAGACGACCGCCCCCTGGGCGGCAGGATCTCCCCTACACACACAGAGACACACTCACAGGGGATGTAGGGTTCTCATCCCATTGAGGGTTTAGGGTTTAGGGTTTCGGGTTTAGGGTTTAGGGTTTGACTTTTGACTATCGGGGTCTTCACCAAAGCTTGAGAAAAGGAACGTTGCGTTTGCCCTCCCCGACAACCTGCCTGTCACGTTCCTTTTCGCACTCCGTGAGCCCGAAACCCCTTCATCCTATAGGGTTTGGTGTTTGGGGTTTAGGGTTTAGGGTTTAGCGTTTAGGGTTTAGGGTTTACGAACCCCCAAACCCTCAGAAGTCTAAATCTTCACCCGGCCAGGCAAACCTGACCACGCAACACTAAAGTTCGCACTCCTTGACCACTTGAGGGCTGGAGGCCTGCACCTTTAAGTGTAGGGTCCGGGGTTTAGGTTTAGGGCAGAGGTCGGGAAGTTCCCCCTCATACTAGGTGTCCTTAATAGGGATTATGCCAGGGCATACTAGAATCCCTGTTAAGCTACGGGCGCAACATCCCAAAGCATAGGGTGTGAGCATTTTAGGGTTTAGGGTCCAGGCACCCTCTGCCTCACTCTACGACGGGGGTTGACCTATATTCGGTGGTGGACAATACCAGCAAGAACCCCACCCCTAAACCCTAAACCTCGAAGCCCTTAAACCCGAAACCCGAAACCCTAAACCCTAAACCCCAACCCTAGCCCTAAACCCGAAGCCCTCAAACCCCAAACCCTGAAACCTAAACCCTAAGTCCTAAACCCTAACGCTCAATCCCAACCTCGAAGCCCACAACCAAGGCCGCGGGTGAGAGACGCCTGGTCATCACGCTCACGAAGGCAGGCTGGTGAGAAGCCGAGCCCCAGAGCGAACAAAACCTCAAACCCTAAACCCTAAACCCTAAACCCTAAACCCTAAACCCTAAACCCTAAACCCTAAACCCTAAACCCTAAACCCTAAACCCTAAACCCTAAACCCTAAACCCTAAACCCTAAACCCTAAACCCTAAACCCTAAAAACCCTAAACCCTAAACCCTAAACCCTAAACCCTAAACCCTAAACCCTAAACCCTAAACCCTAAACCCTAAACCCTAAACCCTAAGCCCTAAACCCTAAACCCTAAACCCTAAACCCTAGCATCCTAAAAGCCTCTAGCACCCAGAGCCTTCAACACCCTAGACACGCCAAACTCCAAAGTCAAAGACCCCAAACCCTTCCACACCCCAAACGCGCCAACTCTTCCACTCCCAACAAGGCAACCTAAGCCCTAAGCCCTAAGCCCTAAACCCTAAACCCTAAACCCTAAACCCTAAACCCTAAACCCTAAACCCTAAACCCTAAACCCTAAACCCTAAACCTTAAACCCTAAACCCTAAACCCTAAACCCTAACCCTAAACCCTAAACCCCTAAAAAACTGCTAGTCCTAAGAATGTCACAGCCTGCGTTTGGCCTGAGAGGTCCGGCCAAAGAGCGCCCTCAAGTCTGCCAGGCCCGACAGGGGTTTAGGGTTTAGGGTTCAGGGTTCAGGGTTTAGGGTTTCGGGTTCAGGGTTTAGGGTTTAGGGTTCAGGCTTTCTTTTTTTGGGGTCTCTCTTTCCGAGTTGCTAGTCGGAGGATGAGCATTCGAGGCTTCGTGGCGTTCAGGTGCATGGCTTTTGAGACATGACATCAGCATCGGCTTTGTCTTTGTTTCAAAGGTCCCGTCCCCTTCTCTCTGCCCCTCGTGTTCTTTACTGGGTCATCGAGACACGCGCCAGAAATTTCGGCAAATTTCAGGCCATCGTCTGGCTTGCGCGCTCTGTTAAGCGCGCGGGTGCCTGCTTTCGCGCGTACACACGCGCGCGCGCACACACACACACACACACACACACACGCGCGCTTGCTTGCTTGCTTGCTTGCTGGCTTGCTTGCTTGCTCCACAAGCCTGCCTGGCGCCCTAAGCCCAACCAACCCTCAACCCTAAATCCTAACCCTAAACCCTAACTCGAAACCCTAGACCTCAACCCTCAACCCTCTAAACCCTCAACCCTAAACCCGAAACCCTCAACCCGAAGCCCTCAAAACCGTAAAACCCTCAACCCTAAACCCTAAAACCCTAAACCCTCAGCCCTAAGCCCTAAGCCCTAAACCCTAAACCCTAGACCCTAAGACCCTAAGACCCTAAGACCCTAAGACCCTAAGACCCTAAGACCCGAAGCCCAAACTGAGGCAGTGGCCTTGCCTCTGGAAGAACGGCGATCCGTAGCGGATGCTGCCGAGCTGAGCTGCCTTCGGAGCTGAGGGAAGTTTAGGGTTTAGGGTGCATGGTTTACGGTTTAGAGCTTAGGGCTTGGGGTTTTGGGGTTTTAGAGTTAAGGGCTGATTCGTTTTTCGGGGTTAGGGCTTAGGGTTTAGACTTTAGGGTTTAGGGATTAGGGTTAGGCTCTTTGGGGTTTAGGGGTCTCGGGCTCCGGGCGCAGGCAGCAAAAAAGGGTGGTCTCGCTGAGTCTCGCTATGCGCTTCTGCAACATGCCGGAGCCCTCTGGCTTGGTCTCGTTAAATATGACCGATAGGGGTCGGAATAATTACTAACAGTATTTCCTCATATGGCCCCTTTGTAGCTCTACGATTTTAACCCCCAAATCCCTGCTCGAATTATTAAGGCCCCTGTAGTCCTAAACCCTAAACCCTCAACCCTCAACCCTCAACCCTCAACCCTCAACCCTCAACCCTCAACCCTCAACCCTCAACCCTAAACGCTAAACCCTAAACCCTAAACCCTACACCCTACACCCAAAACCCCAAAACCCCAAACCCTAAACCCTAAGCCCTAAACCCTAAACCCTAAAGTTCCCAACTTGCCCGGCTCAAGCAGGTGGCCGAGGGCGCATCGTACCGCCTCCGATCGGTGCAGTGCCGCGGCCGGCTGAGTAATCTTTGTCTTTAGTTGTAGTACGGTGTAGGGTTTTATGGTTGAGGGTTCAGGGTTTAGGGTATTATGGTTTAGGGTTTAGGGTTTAGGGTGTACCCTAAACCCTAAAAGAGAATAGTTCGCGTGGGCGGTGGGCCCACTACGCTATGCAAGCGCCCGATAGGGATTGCGCCGGAGTGCGCCCCCTAAACGTCAAGGAAAAAAACTGCTCCCTAAACCCGAAACCCTAAACCCTAAACCCTAAACCCTAAACCCTAAACCCTAAACCCTAAACCCTCAACCCTAAACCCTAAACCCTAAACCCTAAACCCTAAACCCTGAACCCTGAACCCGGAACCCGGAACCCGGAACCCTGAAACTGCCAATGCCGCCTGCCATCGCTCCAAGGAGCGGCGCCCGGGCCGCGCGGCTGAATGCCGCAGTGGCCCTGGGCGGGGAAAAGTCGCCCGAGGGCTCAGCGGTGAGGGCTTGGGGATTTCAGGATTTCAGGATTTCAGGATTTCAGGATTTCAGGATTTCAGGATTTTAGGATTTTAGGATTTTGGGATTTTAGGATTTCAGGATTTTAGGATTTTGGGGATTTGGGGGTTCAGGGGTTTGGGGTGTTTGGCTTCCAGGGTTGTAGGGTTTCAACCCTACATGTTCGGGGCTGACTTGGTTTTCTTTTCTGAAATAACCTTTGGGTCCCTAAGGGTTTAGGGTTTAGGGTTTAGGGTAGATCTCTCGCTTTTTGTTGCGCAAGGTTTCGCTGCTAAGCCGGTTGAGTGGTGCTGTAAGTCGGAGGAGGGTTTCTGCCGGAAGGTTTAAGTCCGGGTTTGCGTGGGGTGCCCTAAACCCTAAAGGGGTCAAGCATCCGCAAACCCTATAAGCATCCCTCATTCCTCAAGCTTGCCGAGGCCGTTCCCAATTTGGGGCACCCTTTTGGGGATTTCATTCGGGGTTTAGGGTTTAGGCTTGAAGGTTCAAATTTTAGGATTTAGGATTCAGGGTACGTGCGCATTGTGCGCCAAGATGACTGAGGTACCCCAAACAAAAGGCAGGTCCAGGTATGAGACTTTCGGGGGCTTCAGCAAAAGCCCTAGACCCCAAACCCTAACGCGCGGCCAGCTTGGTGCGGGAACGGAACCACCGAAAAATTCGTGATGTTGGCTCAGACACAAGGCTTTTGCGAAGCAATTCCTAAGCCCTAAACCCTAAACCCCAAACCTGGAACCCTAAACCCTGAACCCTGAACCCTAAACCCTAAACCCCGCACCCTAAACGCGGGCCAGCTAGCAGCTTCAGACCATGATCCAGCCGGGAAAGTACAGGGTTTGGCCAGCAGGGAGCATGGAGGTTGCTCTTTCGGGTCGATCATTGGGGGCTGTGTTCGTTTTTGGGTACCTAAACTGTCAGGAAGATGCTAAGATGAAGAGACTCCCAAAGTCCACCATCACTTAGATCAACCACATCTAGGTCTAGACGGCCGACCTTGGATGGAGGGCTGTTTCCATTGCCTCCCGCGACTGCTTTCCGGTTGGCCCGCGCTGGCAGACAGAAGCGCCTCATCCTCGCAACCGGCCTCGGGGCAGCCCATGGAGGACCCGAAGAAAGGCCCAACAAATCCAGAGAGAAAGGAAACCTCGGCCCCCTAAACCCTAAACCCTAAACCCTAAACCCTAAACCCTAAACCCTAAACCCTAAACCCTAAACCCTAAAAGGACCTGCTTGGCCGCGACGCCGAGCTCCGGCGGCTCCTGGGTGTCCCGGATCCACCAGACGAGCTCTTAGGGTTTAGGGTTTAGGGTTTAGGGTTTAGGGTTTAGGGTTGGGGAAATTGTATAGGGTTTGGGTCCCAATGAGTTTTGAGCGAAACGTTTTGAGCTTAGATATTAGGCGTTACGGGTCGGCGTGGGGGGCAGTGGGGGGGGGGGGGGGGGTGGGTGGGTGGAGGATGGTGCGGTGGGGGGGGGGGATTGGGCGGGAGCCAGATTTGGGGAGGAAGAAATTGATTGGATATATTAGGTCTAGATTTATTGAAGGCCTTCGAGCAGAAGTCTGGAGGTCCGATTATTTGAAAAACAAAATTCTAATGAATTTGGATAGAAGTATACATTTATTTTAAATCCAAAGCTCTAATTAATTTGGATAAAATTGTCATAGTAATATTTTGATAATTCCAATTGAAATCCTGAGAGAATTTGGGTTTTGCAATGATGATTTCCTCATAAAGAAATGGTTTTGCAATGATTCAAGGAATCTTTGGATACCGCAGAAATTATTTTGCTTGACAAAGTTGAGCCTGCCTAACGCTCTTGGAGATTCATGTTCCTTCTTGCAGACTCTCAGGGGTCAAAAAGTTCTTGGTCTTAAGGCCGGGCTCCTCGAGGGGTAAAAAAGTTCTTTTTCTTAAGGCTGGGCCCCTCGAGGGGTCACAGGAGCGCTCCTAAGTTCTATAGAAAGCAATGGTGAAAAGGATTGCAGCGATCAATTTACTTAAGCCTCCTTGTTTGGTTGCAATGATCAATTTACTTGAACCTCCGTGCTTGCTAGGGTATTGACGAAAGAAGGCCAAAAAAGTCACAGAGTCTCTGGGAGTCTCTGAGAGCTTTTGCAAGCCTTTGGGAGCTTCGATAATCCCAATTGAAATGCTAATGTTTTTTTGGGTTTTGCAATGATTCAAGGAATCTTTGGACATCCAGAAACTATTTTCAATTCTCTCGAGATTTTGAATAGAATGTCTTATAGAACTTTGGCATATTTGAAGATTTCAATAATATTTCGACATATTTGAAAACCAAAATTCTAATGAATTTGGAAGAAATTGAAAACTTTATTGATTCGATAATTTTAACGCTACGCGACCCGCCTCGGCCCGGCCCAGCGCATCCGCGTGAGCATGGTGATTCCGCAGCGCCCAAGTAGCTGGACCCCAAGCAATAAGGGTTGGGTTGAGGGTTGAGGGTTGAGGGTTCCGGGTTTATGGTTTATGGTTTGGGGTTTGGGGTTGAGGGTTAGTTTAGGGCTCAAGGTTCACACTTTGGGGTTGAGGGTTTTTTTGGGTTTAGGGTTCGGCTTGGAGTGATCGTAGGGTTGAGCCAGGCCCCTTAAGGTTTAAGGCGACTCTTCGGCGGGGGAGGGGGGTGGGGGCAGGGGGGGGGGGGGGGGGGGGGGGGGGGGGGGGGGGGTGGGTTAGGGGGGGGGGGGGGGAGGGGCGGTGGGGGGGGGGTGGGGTGGGGAGGGGTGGGGGGGAGGGGGGGGAACGGCGGGGGGCTTCAACTGCCTCTGGTCCTGGCGACCCGTCCGCTTGCGGACCCCGGTTTCCCAGGGGGGGTACCCATTTGAGGGCTTTGGGTGTGGGGAGGATTTGGAGGGGGGTGCCTGTTACACCTCCGGCCCGAGGCCTCGGCGGATTCCAATTGAAATCCTCACAAAATTGGATGTTTCAATGATTCAAGGAATCTCTCTTGCTCGCTCGCTCGCTCTCTCTCTCTCTCTTTTATTTTTTTCCGCTCTCTCTCTCTCTCTCGCTCTCTCCTCTCGTTCTCTCTCCTGACTTAGGGCCTCAGGATTCAGAGTTTAGGGTTTAGGGTTCAGGGTTAGGGTGTTGGGGTGCAGGGATTATGGTGGCTTCGAGGATGGGTTCAGGGCTAAGGGGGTTGGGGTTCAGGGGCTAGGGTGGCTTGGGGCTTAGTGGCTTAGGAATGATATGGGGGTGCGGGTTTGGGGGGGGGGGGGGGGTAGGTGGCTGAGGGCGTCGAGGTCTTGTGGAAAAGCCTTCTGGCTTGGGGCCATAAAGGCATGAACTTAGGGCTCAGGGTTTTCGAGGTTTTGAGAACTCTGGGACCTGGACGATGGGCTGTCCTGTTCTCTTCCCGCCGAAGGCTACATTGCCTCGTGCGAGAATCAGGTCGGTGGGCAGAACGTATATTGCAATATGCGATCATATGATCAAGGGTCAAAACTATGGGTCAAAAACCCTGCAAAGCGACGGGGCACACCGACAATCGACGCCCCTTAAACCCTTGTAAAGCGACGGGGAACAACCCCTATTGCGCGACCTAGGCCCGACATCTAGAGTTTTGACGGCCGCTCATATAAAGTATAGTGGTGTACACTAATATACAACAACATGCAATAGTCTGTATACTAGCAGAAAACGATGTGTATGTATATATGTGTTTAGAATATACAACAATGTATAACAACATATACTACTTCACAAGAAGATGTCTCGAAGTCTACTGATATACGCACCGTTATATATGTATATATACATATATATCCACACACTATAACGTATAATTCCCTATATTACAGTACAACTATACAGAAAAGAATATCATATACAGTAAATAATTTGAGGTCATTGTTGTTATTGTAGTTCTTATTCGAAAGCTATGCTGAATTGGCAATACAATGAAGCATAAGTTTAGCTTTGTGAATTAAGATCATAGTAATATATGTATATATATATATATGTACAAATCTATATATATATATATGCATATATATATATATATATATATATTTTAAAAAACCCCTGCCCCCATTTTCCCCCCCCCCCCCCCCCCCCCCCCCTCGCGAGAAGTGCCGCATCAGGATGCCGCGGAGGATTGCTGGAGTAGCCTGATCCTAAGCGCCTTCAACCCCCCAACCTCACATCCTAAACTCCTAGACCCCAACCCCAACCCCTAAACCCTAAACCCTCAACCCTCAACCCTCAACCCTCTAAACCCTCAAAACCCTCAAAACCCTCGAAACCCTAAACCCTAAACCTTAAACCCTAAACCCTAAACCCTCAACCCTTTTTCAACCCTAAACCCTAAACCCCAAACCCCCCAAACCCTAAACCCTAAACCTCCCAAGTTCCTAAGCCCTCAAGCCTAAACAGCCTAGACCCTTGCCAGGTGAACCACATCACCCGCGGCCGCGATGGCAGCGTGGGCAGCTTCCTGTTCAGCCAGCCGTCCTTTTTGAGGCCACCAGCTCCCGGAGCCCTTGAACAGAGGGGTCGGAATAATTAGTAATAATTACTACTTGTTACTAAGAATTAATAATAATTACTAATAATTACTACAAGTTACTAATAATTACTAATATTTACTAATAATTACTAATAATTACTAAGAATTACTAATAATTACTAATAATTACTAATAATTATTAATAATTACTAATAATTACTGATAATTACTGATAATTATGAATGATTACTAATAATTACTAATAGTTACTAATACTTACTAATAATTATTAATGATTACTCATAATTACTAGTAATTTTCCCTTATGGTCCCTTTGTAATTCTACTATAAACCAACACCCCCCCCCCCCCCCCCCCCCCAACCCTATTCTGATTATTCAGGCCCCTGTGTTACTTGTTTCGGGGCTTAGGGTTTCGCTTTGAGTTTTTAGGGGCTTGCGGGTTGGGTGGTGTTGTGGATTTTCCGTGTTTACCGGGT